GGCTTTAACCACATGCCGCCCAGCCACTGTACAAATACGCCGGCAGGGCGACACGGCTGGGCAAAACCACGTTTTAAAACGTGTTTTCAAAACAGGTAGGGGGCGCGCCACCGCCCTACCTGTCCTGCCGATCACGGCCGCAGATGTCAGTTGCCGGGTCACAGCCGATCGTTACCGGCTATGTCCGAGCGTTTAAGCCGTAATCACTGACAGAGAGCAGGGCTGCAGTAGCTCTGCTCTCTGTCAGTTCCCTGACAGCTCCTGACAGGCTGATCGGGACAGAAGAGTTTATCTCTCCCGATCAGCTTGTCCCCCTTGCAGTACACACCCCCGCCCCCTAGTAAAACACTCCCCTCACACAGTTAACCCTTTCACTGAATAATAAAGTTAACCCCTTCCTCCCCAGTGCCATTAGTACAGTGTCAGTGTGTTTTTTTTTTTGCACTGATCACTGTATTGGTGTCATTGGGGATGTCAGTGACCCCAAGTCAGTTCCCCCCAGTGTCAGAATGTCCGCCGCAGTCCTGCCATAAGTCGCTGATCGCCGCCATAAGTCGCTGATCGCCGCCATTATTAGTATAAAAAAAATTAAAAATCCCAGTATCTTTCCCGCCATTTGTAAATGCTATAACTTTCACGTAAACCAATTAATTTACACGTATTGGGTTTTTTTTTTTTTTTAGCAAAGACATGTCGCAGAATGCATTTTGGCAGAAATTTATGACTAAATTTGATTTTTAAATTTTTTTTAACTGGACATGTTTTATAGCAAAAAGTCCAAAATATTGTTTTTTTTTCCTCAAAATTGTCAGACTTTCTTTTTTATAGCGTAAAAAATAAAGAACGCACAGGCGATCAAATACCACCAAAAGAAAGCGCAATTTATAGGGAAAAAAAGGATGTCAATTTCATTTATGTACCGTATTGCATGACCGCACAATTGTCCGTTAAACTAGCGCAGCGCTGTATAGCAAAAAAATGGCGTAAATTGCAGTATCTATACCATAGTTTGTAGACGTTATAGCTTTCACACAAAGCAATCAATATACACTTATTGGGATTTTTTTTACTAAAAACATGTAGCAGAATACATTTTGGCCTAAATTTATAACTAACTTTGAGTTTACTATATATTTTTTATAGCTGAAAGTAGAAAATATAGTTTTTCTTCTTTTTTTGGCCTTTTTTTGTTTATAGCGTGAAAAATAAAAAGTGCACAGGTGATCAAATACCACCGAAAGAAAGCTCTATTTGTGTGAAAAAAAGGACAAAAATTTCGTTTGGGTGCAGCATTCCATGACCGCGCAATTATCAGTTGAATTAGTGCAGCGCCGAGTAGCAAAAAGAGGCCTGGTCATTAAGGGGGGTAAATCCTCAGGAGGGCAAGTGGTTAAGTACCATCTCTATGCTGGTGACAACAAATCTATCTCTCTACCCCTCACCTCACCCCTTCAGTCTCCTCTCACATTACTAACCTACTAAGTGACATATCGCATGGATCTCACTCCACTTCCTCAAACTCAATCTTTCCAAAACTGAGCTCTTAGTATTCTCCCCAGCCTGTGCCCCCTCCCCTGACTTCTCCATCAAGATCAATAACACAATCATCAGTCCCTCCCCTCATGCCAGGGTACTAGGTGTAATCCTAGACTCCCATCTGTCCTTTCAGTCCCAAATCCAATGGCTGTCCAAATCTTGTAGACCTCACCTCCGCAACATCTCCAAGATACGCCCGTTCCTAACCTTGGAAACCACTAAGCAACTTTTTCACTCCCTTGTTATATCTCGCCTTGACTATTGCAACTCCCTCCTCATTGGCCTACCTCATCACAGGCTATCCCTTCTTCAGTCTATCATGAATGCTGCTGCCAGACTCATCCACCTTACTAACCGTTCTGTATCTGCCAATCCCTCCACTGGCTTCCTGTTGCCCAACGGATACAATTCAAAACATTAACAATAACGTATAAAGCCATTTATAACTCAGCCCCAAGTTATATCACCAATTTTGTCTCCAAATATCACCCAAATTGTCCTCTCTGCTCTCTCCCATGGCCTCCTGCTCTCTAGCTCCCTTATCTCCTCCTCCCATGCTCATTTCCAGGACTTCTCCAGAGCTTCTCCCATCCTCTGGAACTCTCTATCCCAATTTATCAGACTATCACCTACTCTTCTCACTTTTAAGCGATCTCAGAAAACCTCTCTCTTCAGGTAAGCCTATGCTGCCCTCAGCTAATAATGATATATTCTACTCTTGCAACCAGTCCATCCCCCACAGTTACTACCTTTTGTACCGCTAGCCCCTCCCTCCTAGATTGTAAGCTCTGAGGAGCAGGGCCCTCCTATCCCTCTTGTATTGAACTGTACTGTTGCTGTATTGTATCCCGTTATATTGTAAAGCGCTAAGCAAACTGTTGGCGCTATATAAATCCTGTATAATAATAATAATAATTAAAGCTGAACTTCAGGCACAAATATTTAAATATATTCCTTGATAGCAACAAAATATATAAATTCTCATCATATGTGCCAAATGTTTTTGCAAACACATACATATTACCTTGCAAAAGGAGCAGTGACATCATCACTGAACTGTACATGGCCTGTACAGAGATCAGGGGTGTGGGAGGGGCCCAGCAGACTCCCACCTACTACAGGCTGCATGCAGAAAACTATAGGGACGGACGCAGACTAAACCAGTCACCCTGGCACAAGGAGAGAGAGCAGCAGGGATCAGGCTTATTTTATTGGACGCTCCTTTCAAACAGCCAAAGTTTCATACTGGATTACTACGGTTTCCCTGGAAATAAGACCTACCCCTAAAATAAGACCTAGTACTATTTTTGGGAATTGCTAAAGTATAAAGCCCTACCCCAAAAATAAGACCTAGTTGTGATCAGGGCTTTTTTTTTTTTTTTTAAGCTGGAACTGGCCTTGTGCACACCAATATCTACTGTCTCTTGTAAACACAGAAGCACAGCTTTTGTGTTTGAAAGTGACAGCACCATCCGCTCCCACAGAACCTTCCTGCCTCTGTACTCACTGTGGAACAGGGAAGGAACAGATATCTGTGGGCACAGTGTGCAGTGTGTAGCGGGGTGGGGCAGGGCATCTCGTCCTGCAGCCTAATGCATGGAAGCCGATGCCCCAGGGATGATCGCCGGCCAGTGGGGAAGAAGCGGAGCGGTGAGTGCGCTTTGTGGGAAGGCAGGACCCAAAGCGAGAATTAATATAAAGAGGGGCCGGCTGCTGACAGCTGTGCTTTGCCAAGCTAGCTAACCATATGAGGGCAGTGGAGGGGGGAAGTGCAAAGGTAAGCTGCAGTCAGGTGTTACAGAGGTAAACTGACAGGGTGCAAAGGTGAGCTGCGGCTGCGGGGGTGCAGCGGTGAGCTGAGTTGCAACCCACCTCTGCACCCCCCCCGGCCATAGCTCAGCTCTGCACCCCCTGGCCACAGCTTGCCTCTGCACCCCCAGTCCGCAACTCACACCTGCACCCTGTCTGTGGTTCATCTCTCCACCCTGTCTGAAACTCACTTCTCAATTCACCTCTGCAACACCTGACTGCAGCTCACAATTGTCATCAGTTGGCCCTCTCTATAGTAACCCCCAAAATAAGAGCCAAAAAAAAAAAATATAAGACAGTGTCTTATTTTCGAGGTAACACGGTACATAGATCTGGAAGAAATACACAAAGTACACCAAGATTCGAGTAAAAAAAAACGCATGCCTCTTGTATTTAAACACTCAATTGAATATCCTGGAGTTCAGTTTTAAGCACTTGCCCTTCTGAGGATTTCTCCCCCCTTCCTGACCAGCCCTTCTGAGGATTTCTCCCCCTTCCTGACCAGGCCATTTTTTGAGTTACAGCGCAGCGTTAATTTTAATGACAATTGCGCGGTCATGCAACGCTGCACCCAAATAAAATTTACGGCCTTTTTTCCCACAAATTGAGCTTTTTTTCAGTGGTATTTGATTGCCTGTGCATTTTTTATTTTTTGTGTTATAAAGAAAAAAATAAGACCAACAAATTTGAGGAAAAAAAAAAATATTATTTTTGACTTTTTGCTATTCAACATGTCCAGTAAATTTAAAAAAAAAATTAAATTTCGGCATAAATTTAGGCCACTCTGTATTCTACATGTCTTCGCTAAAAAAAATCCAAATACATGTAAATAATTGGTTTATGTGAAAGTTATAGTGTTTACAAATGGCAGTATATATACTGGGATTTTTTTTTTTTTCTAGTAATGGCAGCAATCATTGAATTGTAGCGGAAAAGCGGTGGGCATTCTGACACTGGGGCAAACTGACTTGGTGTCACTGACATCCCCAGTAACACCAATACAATGATCAGTGCTAAAAAAAAAACCCAAAAAAAAAAAAAAAACTGACACTGTACTCATGGCACTGGGCAGGAAGGGATTAACATGTGGGGTGATCAATGGGTTAACTGTGTGCCGAGTGCTGTGTCTGTATGCTTCACTGTAAGCACACTGCTTTTGAAGGCTTTGCTGTGCACAGTCATCCAAAGCAGTGTGCATGAGCTGACAGGGAAGATTGTTTACATACAGTTCTCCCCATCAGAGATGCTCGTGAATCACCGGGCGCCAGCACATAAACACCGGTCGGGACCCGGTGATTGACAGCCGTAGCTGCGAATGACGGTACGGGTAGGGTGCATACCCCCTACCCGGAATGCGGAAATGCGAAAACACGTGATTTTTCGCATCCATGCTATAGGGCGGTCGGGAAGAGGTTACATAAATCTGGTATGAAAAACTCATATATCCTAAACATTTTTCAAGATTTTTTTTTACTCACTTTTGTATGAGCTAATACTGCAAATGGCATAGCCATGTTTATAACGGTACAAAACGGAAGGCAAAAACTATTAGGTGCCGAGAATCTATGATTCAGGAACTTAATCCATAACTGCCAAAAACACATATGCACTAGATGACAACTTCCAACACGCTTATAAGTGACGGAAATACTCACAGAAATGATTAACTGCTTCACAAGCTTGGTATCATCAATACAGTCAAACATTGCCAGCAAGACCAGATGAGAAAATTCTCCCTGGAAAACAAAACAAGACAGAAAAATTATAGAATGCACACATATACTGTATATTGCTTACAATATTGATCTACCTAATAATATATGCTTGTGTAATGATGGATCTCTGCTATTCTAGCAATTTATAAAAATTTCCTAACTGCCAACTAGCAGTACAATCTGTAATTATTACATTTCTACTATATAGAAGCACCTACAACTGCTTAAACCTGAGGATATGGCCAAATACCATCCTGACAGGAAAAGCTTTGGACACTCCTCCCTTCGCAGCATCAAAGCTTGCTCATTCCAGTCCTGCCCCCTGCACAGAGAGACTAGGGGTTTGATTTACTAAACCTGGAGAGTGCAAAACTTGGAGCAGCTCTGCATAGAAACCAAGCTTAAAGAGTAATTTCACTTTTGTTGAGAAAAAGCATTACACCCAAAACACATTCTGCTACTCCTCCAGAGTATGAGGATTCCACATGCGTGAGACCTTTTTACAGTCTAGCCATAAAGAAAGGCCCAATATCCAAAGAGTACCTTAAGGCTTTCTAGAGGCAAAAATTACAGATCTAATTTCTTGACTACCAATTAAATTTTTGGAGGCTCTGGAGCACCAGAATAGTGGAAACACCAACAAAATGACCACATTTTCTAAAGAAAGTACCCCACGGTATTTCGTAAGAGGCATTGTGAGTCTTTTTGAAATGTAATGTTTTGCCAGATTTTTCTGGAAAAATCAATTGAAGGATATTTCTAACACACAGCATAGGCATACTTAGAATTACACATCAAAACACATTCTGCTACTGCTCCAAACTTCTGCACATGGGGATACAACATGTGCAAGACCTTTTCAATGTTTAGCAGTCAGTGAATATAGCTTAGTGTAGCTTCACCTACAGCAGTCCTTGCTCCAAAAGGTCAAGCAGGCCCAACCTATTGGTACGTGGCTGCCCCACTGGAGCACTGGAGGCTGAACAAAGGCTTAACAACAGAGATCCTGTGGTTCAATTTGTGTAGCTGTCTGCAGAGGATGGGTGGGACTCATGTTTCACAGGAATGTAGTCAGTGGGACAAGCAGATGAGCCAGTACTAGCAGCAGCCAGAGATGTGGTCAGCAAACAGGCAAATGACTGGTCCAGGCAGCAGGCAGAAACATGATTGAGAAACAGGGCAGGGTCAGTACTGGCGGAAGATAAAGATGTTGTCATTATGCAGGTAAAAGGATCAGTTCAGACAGGAGGCAGAAACTTTGTCAATTACCAGGCCAAGGTAAGTTCAGGCACCCGGCATGGTCAATATGCTGTACAGCATTTTGTGCGGCCCATATTTAGAGTTAGACCAAGAAAGATTTTAAATTCTTCAGATGTAATGGGCACCCACTCAAATGCACAGGCATAAACAGAATTGGGATTTTTGGCGATATACTGCTGGACATACAAATTACAATGGTCCACATTTGAATTTAATAAATATTTTGTGAAAATTCTCACTTTCTGCCTGAATGTCTGGTTGGGTTGTAAATGGGGGGATAATAGGTGGTGCTGAATTAGAAGGTAGCCAGTAAGGATTTGAAAAAGCCTTTGGAATACTAGTATGGGCCCTAATCCTTTGACAATCTCTGTGGAAAAAAAGAGAACCAATGTTTACTTTCACTTTCTTTGTTTACATAAGTGATAGCTGTGATTGGACACAGTGATCACATGGTACAGGGCCAATTTAATTGATCAGATGTGTCCCTTACATCACCAGGCTCACAGGTGTGTGCTTTAGAAGTCACACATGACCCCCTGAATGCAGAGGAGGTACGAGTACATCCACCTACAATCGGCAAAGCTCCTTTCTGGCAGTTTATGTACATTAGCCAGACGGGAGGCGGTTAAATATTGAGAAAGAAGTTGGGTGCTGGATAATGTAACTTTTCAGTGCAGAAGTTACATCATCAGTTGCTGCCCAATGGACAAAGAGGAACAAGCTATATTCCAAGATAGTTTAAAGCCCTACTATAAGGTGCCGAAAGACAGCAGAGCTTAGTGTTCTTGCAACATAGGGAGAACACAGAGCATGCATGGCTTTTAAATGAGGAAGAGCTAGCTCTTATGATGCTGTCGATGAGCACTTAGAGTCTGCTGTGTCCTAACAACTAGCCAGAGTGGGATAATGCTAACAATATGGGAGTATTCCTGCCAAGCTTTGGGGTTGCCACAAGTGGCCTACAGGTATGTCAATTACATTAAACACTTCACTACCTCCATACAACTTTAAACAGTGTCTCTCTTGCCTCACTAGACATGGAGGCAGCAGAGGGAGCCATTCACTCCTGCTGTTGTCAATTAAATCCTGTTATGAGGGAGCAGGGTGAAAGGACGAGCCACACTGTGTACCAAACGACAGAGAACCCAGCTTGGAAACGGGGAGGAGCAAGGAACCCCAAAGAGGAGGTAAGAGGCTGCTCTGAGTAAAACCATTGCACAGAGCAGGTAAGTACAACATGCTTATTTTATTTTTTGAAAACTACCTTTAGAATCACTTTAAACCTTTTCTCCTAAGTAATATTAAAACGGATATGCAGCCTGAAAGAACATGTGCAAAACCCCCCAAACTTAATCTGATGACCATCACAGCTGTAGACACTTTTTATTGATGTGAAGTGCTGTATGTGCTCAAAAACTAGCCAGATGGCCATCACTTTGACAGATGCTTTTCTTGAAAGTGAAGTAGAAATTGTGTGCCTAACTGTGTTTGGGCTTTTATAACATGTTTAAAGTAGACTTTGCACGGACCACATAAATATACAGTACATGCACAAAATTAAAACTATGAACATATAAAAGGGTTGAACTGCTACCCTGGTCTAGATACTCCTAGCATTATCCTGTATAGTAGCATTAACTGGTGTTGCCAAAATCTTAGTTACTCCAGAATACTCAAAGTCTGATTCCTCTCTAAAATATTGTGAGACTTCCAGCATATATACATCACTGCATATTGTTATGAGAGAAATGCATTGGCAAACATTCCAGATTTCTTTGTGAAAAAATTGTTTTTTTTTGCTGATCCAATGGCTTTATTGCTTTCTGAGTCAATGAACTGAAAAACGTAAGCAGACCAGGAGTTGCGACTTCTCTTGCTTCATAGGCTTTTCCAAGGCACTGACTGCAATAAACGGAAGTCAGAGACAGCTCTGCAAAGACAGTCTGCATGATTCTCCAAACATAATAGGTTTCCTTTGAGAATAGTGTTTGTTGTCATCACATTGCTAGCACAGCAGTACATCCAGGTGTGATCCTGAGCAAAATTTAATAAGAAGGGCAAGCTATGCACTTCAGACTAGCCTAATTCATGCCATATGCATATTCTTAACTTTTGCTGTATTTCCCAGAACAGGAAGGATGCAAAGATTTCAGAAATCTATGAGGGACATTCAAGTCAAACCGGGACTTTTAATTTTACAGGTAACGGGATGTTAGCGTGGCGGTACTACATGCAAGTGTGTCCTATTACTGATAGGTGGTGCACGTTGCGTGTAAATTCAGAGATTGGTAATGAAGATGACAACAGTGTTAGTGCGTGCATGGATCAGCATGTGGTGAAGTTTCTTGTGGAAGTTATTATTCTTGTGTTCTTATTTTTGCAGGCTGTGTAGAGAAGCATATGTAATAGAACAGTGTCATCTAGTAGAGCCAGATATGCTAGTACAACACTGGTTGTCACTAGCCAGTCTGCCCAGTGTATAGCTTATGATGAAAGGCACTTTCAATGTCCTAGCTATAGTGATGGCCATCCCACAGAAATGACTCAAGCTAAGAAGAGCGAGAAAGACATTCTGTCTTTATCAGAGAGAGAGGTCAGTAGGATCTGAGGAAGATCAAGCAGAAAGAATATAGATTAGCTAAGGTAAAGTATTTTGTTGTATATGCAAGTATTATTAGACAGGAAAAGGGCACTTGACCTAAAAGCAAACATATCAGCAATTTTTCAAACAAAAATCTCTGTCAAAGGACAGACATTATAGGATGAATGATTTTGGTTGCTACGAAGGACTAACTTTACAGCAGACCCTGTCTACCCATCTCAACCCTGCCCAATTACCATTCCCTCATAGGACACTGATGCACTCTGAGACAGGGGCATGAGAGGTGCTTTGTTCCACAGTCAGGAAAGTCATGTAAACTAGTTTAAGAGGGCCATGCAGAAGAGAATTTTCCAGCCGATATACTGTAAGTAATACAAGGTATCTTGTGGTGTCTGCTCTTAGACAGGACTAATATTCATTTGGAGTGGCTTTGGGAAAAAAGTCTCACATAATATATGTAAGTGCATTGTTGTAGCATTCTTCCATTTCAGTCATTAGAAAAGCGTTTAAAAAATTCTACACATGCTAAACAGTATTCAGATCCTGCAGCAGCCTATACCTGGGCTATTGAGTCAAACGATTTCTAGGAAATGTATAGATTCATAAGCTAAGCAGCAGTTGCTGCAGGAGTTGAAGAGGTGAGAACATTCGGACAACTGATTCCCAGGGAAAACTCGGATCCTTCTTATACACAACTGACATCAGCTCTGTGGACTAGATGTCTTCTGTAATATACCATAAACACACCATTGCATTTAAGTGTAAATACATTTTGCCAAAATGCAATCAGCTTGAGAAAGTTGTATCACTACCAGTCCAGAATCATAAACCTGTAATTAACCATAGCGGAAGAGGTAACCATTTTTAGCACAAGAAGGGGTAGAGAACTGCAGTTTTGGAAAAGCCAGCAAACTAGTCAATTACTTGAAGCTTGTATATCACTTAAAAACAATTCTTGAACAACTTACTGTGGCCACTTTTTCAACAAATGTCTTCATGGTTTTTGTAAAAATTTTTCTGTCCTGCAGATTAAAAAAAACACATCAATTACTGGAAAAATCTAAGTGAAAAAAAGAAAAGCACACAATTACAGTCTCTAGTATTAAAAGCTAGGTAAACACTAATTAGTTACAATATGCCAGTTGCTCACAGGGAAAATGAAAGATTCATCTGTTGTGACTTTACCTCCAACCAAGGTACTAAAATGGTATTAAACCCAAAGACAAAAATGTATTACATTGCAGCCCACCAATTCTTAGATGAGGTGGTTGCACTCGTTTTTGTTTAAGACTTTTTTTCTTTTATTTTTCACCTGATGATCCAGCCAGTAAGTCTGTTATTTTTCAACTTCCTTTAGGAAGAAGCTGTCAATTTTTTATTTTTTTCTACATACTTTGCTGTAAAACCCATTTCTTTGGAGTACATCATGCGACATATAGCTGGCTATAAGAATGACTGTGTGTGTTATATGCTACCTATATGTGAATGGACAGTGGCCGACAAAATCAAGCAGGAAGTCCTCCCCCATATGACCCCCTCCTATACAGGAAGTACTTATTTTTGTAGCAAGCAATGAAAATCCAGAAAGAGGGCAGGGACTTCTGTGTCCCGTGATGTACTCCAACAAATGGATTTTACAGGTAAGTATGTAGAAAAAAATCCAATTTCCTTTAAGGTACATCATGGGACACAGAGCAGGCTATAACAATGACAACCCTTGGCAAAAAGTATAGAATCACCACTTAAATTTTCATTTAATTGTGTAGTTGTCTAGAAAAAAAACTAATCACAGACATGTGAAAAAAACAGTTGCAACTGTTTCTGCAGATCAAGCAGAGGAAAAAAAAAAAAAAAAAAGTATGGAATCACTCATTTCTGAGGAAAATATTATGGAATCATGAAAAAAGAAAAAAAAAAAAAAAAAACACTACTGTACACCACTACTACTTTGTTGCACCACCTCTAGCTTTTATAACAGCTTGAATTCTCTGAGGCATGGATTTAACAATCGACAAACAGTATTTTTTCATCAATCCTGCTCCAACTCTCTCTTATTGCAGTTGCCAGATCAGCTTTGCAGGTTGGAGCCTTGCCCTGGACCATTTTCTTTAAATTTCACCATAGATTTTCAATTGGATTGAGGTCCGGACATTTTACAGACCGTGCCTTTGACATTATGGGGTTTATTTACTAAAGCTGGAGAGTCCAAAATCAGACTCCCTTCTGCATAGAAACCAATCAGCTTCTAACCTCAGCTTGTTCAATGAAGCTTTGGCAATGAAACCTGGAAGCTGATTGGTTTCTATGCAGAAGGGAGTCTGATTTTGGACTCTCCAGCTTTAGTAAATAAACCCCTATATATCTTTCTTGAAGCTAAGTTTTCACAGCTTTCACCCTATGACAAGTGCATTATCACCGTGAAAAATGTCATCATCATCAAACATTCTTTCAATTGATGGAATAAGAAAAGTGTCCAAAATCTCAATATAAACGTGTGCGTTTATTGAAGATTTAATGACTGTCATCTCCCCCGTACCTTTACCTGACATGCAAGCCCTTATCATCAATGACTGTGGAAATCTGCATGTTTTCTTCAGGCAGTTGTCTTTATACATTTCATTGGAACGGCACCAAACAAAAGTTCCAGCATCATCACCCTGCCCAATGCAGATTCATAATTCATCACTGAATATCACTTTCATCCACAGTCCATGATTGCGTCTTTAGCCCACTATAACCTTGTTTTTTTTCTGTTTAGCTGTTAATGATTGTTTTTGTTTGGCTTTTTTGTATGTAAATCCCATTTAAGGCAATGTCTTACCATTGGGTCACAGACATCGACTCCAGTTTCTGCCCATTTGTTCCTCATTTGTTTTGTTGTGCATTTTCTGTTTTCAAGGCATATTGCTTTAAGTTTTCTATCTTGACACTTTGATGTCTTTCTTGGTCTACCAGTACACTTCCCTTTTACAACCTTTCCATTTGATTTGTACTTGGTCCAGATTTTAGACACAGCTGACTGGGAACAACCAACATCTTTTGCAACTTTCTGTGGTGATTTACCTTCTTGAAAAAGTTTTATAATCCTCTCCTTTGTTAAAACGGACATCTCTCGAGTTGGAGCCATGATTCATGTCAATCAGCTTGGTTCAACAGCTCACCAAAGTGTGCAAGCACTCTTTTTAACTGCAGATTAATTAGCGGATGTAATCTGAAGCAGATGTTTGTTTTAGAACTGCAAAGTACATGGTGATTCCGTAATATTTTCCTCTGAATTGAGTGATTTCGTATTTTTTTCTCTCTGCTTGATCTGCAAAAACAGTTGCAATCAGCTACAGTTTTCTTTCTTTTTTATTTTTTTTAAGCCAGAAGGTTGGAATATAAAATTAAATAGTGTTGAGGCATGTCTGTGATTATTTTTTTTCTACACGATTAAACAATTGAATGAACATTTTCCAAGGGTGGTGATTCCACGTCCCCAAAGCAATTAAACCTTGAGAGGTGGGTGACATCACAATAACCACCGCCATCAATTCCAAATTGAGCTAATCAGCTGTTTGCAATACACTGCGGTCAAAGGCAGAATCCTCCGTGGCTCTGACATTCACCTGGTAAAACCTTGTGAATGTATGAACTGAAGACCATGTAGCAGCTTTGCAAACCTGAGCAACTGACGCCTGGTGGTGTGTAGCCCAAGATGCCCCCACATGCCTGGTAGAGTGTGCTTTCACCCGAAAGGGTGGAACCTTGCTCTTCAAACCATAGGCTTGAATGATTAACTGGCAAATCCACCTAGAAATAGTTCATTTGGATGCCGCCTGCCCTCTCCTGGATCCTTCTGGCAAAATAAACAAGGAATCAGCATTTCTAATCTGTGCAGTCATTCTCAAAAAGACCCTTATTACCCTAACTACATCCAGGGCATATAAAAGATCTCTCTCTCTTGCCGCCTGAGACGCAGGAAAAAAAAAAGGAGGGAAGTACAATGTCCTGATTCAAATGGAACTAGAAACCACCTTTGGCAAAAAGGACGCATGAGGCCGCAACACCACCTTATCCTGTTGCAAAAACCAAAAATGGTACTCTGCAAGAAAGAACTGCCAACTCCGAAGCCCCTCTAGCAGAGGTGATTGCCACCAAAAACAGAACCTTCCGAGTTAGCAGAACTAATGGAATTTCCCTGATAGGCTCCAATGGTGGCTTCTGTAAAACTGGCAAGACCAAGTCCTAAGGACACAGAGGCTGTTTGACAGCAGAAGCAGTACACATTACTACCTGTAAAAAAAGTATGAACCAAAGAGTGAGAAGCAATGGGTCTTTGGAAAAAAAACAGCCAAAGCTGGAACCTGACCTTTAATAGTACCAACAGCCAACCTCTTCTATACTCCTGACTGGAGAAAAGACAAAATTCTCCCAATAAAATATTTCCACAGATGCAACCATCGACCAGCAGGAAATATATGCCTTCCAAGTTCTATAATAAATGTCCCTAGAAACCAGCTTCTTAGTGTTTAACATTGTGTGGATAACCAAGCCTGACACTCTATCTTTCAAGATTTGGGTCTGAATAGCCATGCCGTCAAATTCAGAGACAGTAAAGCTGGGTGCAATATACGTCTCTGAGACAGCAGGTCTGGCCCCTCTGGCAGAGGTCATGGATCGTCCATTGCTAGCGGCACAATGTCTGTGTACCATGACCTCCTGGGCAAGGCTGCTGCCACTAATATCACCGGAATCACCTCTTCTCGAATCCTGCATAAGAGCTACAGTAGTAGCTGAATTAGTGGAAAGGCATAGATTAGGGAAAACTGGTCCCATGGTATTACCAAGGCATCCACCCCTATCGCAAGAGGGTCCCACATCCTGGACACAAACCTGTCCAACTTGCTGTTGAACCTGGACGCCAATAGACCTACGACCGTGCACCCCCTAAAGCTGGCAGATAGACGAAAACAACTCAGGATGCAGGGCCCATTCTCCCGGAAACAACTGCTGATGACTGAGGCGGTACACCTGCCAATTCTCTATTCCTGGAATGAATACTGCTGACAGAACTGGATCATGCTCTCGGCCCAAGTCAGAATGTGATTTACCTCTTCCTGAGCCCTTTGGCTCTTGGTACCGCCTTGGTGGTTCTAGTACGCCACTGCTGTGGCATTGTCGGACTTAACCCCGACTGGCCAACAAGCCACACCGCCCAAAGCTCCAGGATATTGATGGGAAAGATCTTTTCCTGTGGTGACCATGTCCCTGGGACTGTGATTCCCTCTAGAACAGCCCCCGACCCGTGAGGCTGGCATTGGTTGTTACCATCTTCAAAACCACTGGTGGGAAAGATCTTCCTCTTTCCAAATTCCGAGCTTCCAACCACCAATTAAAGCCTCACAGCACCCAGAACAGAGACATGCAGCAATCCAGCGCTAGAAATTTTTTGTTCCACACGGACAGAATATTCCTCTGTATAGGTCTTGAGTGGAATTGCACATAGGGCACTGCCTCGAAGGAAGATATCATCTTCCTCATTAACCTCATACAAAGATGTATGGAAGGATAATTCCTGCTTCTCAAACACCGAACCTGATCTTTCAGGGCATGGCACTTTCCTGGAGGAAGAAACACCTTTGCCTGAACTGTGTCTAGGACAAACCCTGTAATGATTATGCACAATAGAGACATGGAAGCTGTACACGACAGCCATCTTGTTAAGGTCTCAGCCATTTTGTTTTTATGATCATCTTTCTCCCCTCCTCCCTCCTCTTGAAAATGGAATTTGTAGCTGTAAGTTGTAACGAACTTCAAAAGTGCCTCTTAAATAAGACACAAAGAGAGGCCAGCTCCAGTGCTATACACTGCTAATTAGTCTTGGCAGGATGTCTATTTTGCAAAGACACTTTCCTCTGCCCTATCGTAAAACAATAACTCAGTCCAGCCATCACACATGACCTGTTGGGCCATTAAAGCTCTAGGAATACAGAGCAAGCCATAAAACGACGATTCCACATGTAACAATTCCGCATACAAT